TTCTACTTAAGCTAACAATGAGTTTATTATTACAATATAGAAAACTTACAATTGAGCACTGTTAAAACATTCATTAATATAAAGAAAACAGATTTCATGTATTCCATAGGTACAGTTCTAAGATGATAACCATACTCCACAATAGGGAATTTTCATTAAACTTCTAATCTCCTTTTAAAATATTGATTCTTGAGGCTGGCACAGTGGCGCAGTAGATTAATCCTCCGCCTGCGGTGCCAGCATCCCAAATGGATGCCGGTTCTAGTCCCGGCTGCTCCTCTTCCAATCCAGCCCTCTGCTATGGCCTGGGAAAGCAGTAGAAGATGGCTCAAGTCCTTGGGCGCCTGCACCAGGGAGACTTGGAAGGAGCTCTTGGCTCCTGGCTTCGGATTGGCGCAACTCCAGTCACTGTGGCCATTTGGGGAGTGAACCAGCAGACAGAAGACCTTTCTCTCTGTTTCTTTCTCTCACTGTCTGTAACTCTACCTCTTAAACAAAATAAATTAAAAAATCTTTAAAAAATACTGATTCTTTGTTATTTCAATAAAGAAAGTAGATTGTTAACAAATCCTATGAGGCAACTTGGCTTACCAAATGGGAAAATTAAAACCAGACTTCGGTTAACACCAAATATTTGGACTCCAGATTTCTCTACCTTCATGTAAAGCTGGAGAACATCTGGCCCACGGGCCACATAAGAACTCCAAAATCATTTGGTCTGATCCTGCCGATATTTTAAAGTCACATTTATAAACATACATAGCTACATTGGATTGAACTAATTTATAACTGATATACCTTCTTCAAATTTGAAATTATGCTGAAAGTTAAATTGAGAGGAGCATTGGGGCCAATGCTGTGGCACAGTGGGTTAAAGCCCCCACCTACCCTGTAGGTGCCAGTTCGAGTCCCTGCTACTTCTCTTCTGATCCAGCTCCCTGCTAATGTTCCTGGGAAAGCAATGAAGGATGGTTCAAGTCCTTGGGCCCCTGTAACCACATGGGACACCCGGAAGAAACTCCTGGCTCTTGGCTTCAGATTAGCTTAGCTTCGGCTATTGCTGCCATTTGCAGATTGAACCAGTAGCTGGAAGACCCTCCCCCTGCTGCCTCTGCCTCTCACTGTAACCCTGTCTTTCAAATCAAAATAAAATAAATCTTTAAAAATATGAGAGAAGCCATTTCAGATTTTGTTTTTAGAGATTCAGATCAAAGGCATCTTAGTCTTTTCTAAATGTATCTTTGCAAAAGACCATTTCTGTGTAATATGATTGGAAAATGAAGAAAAATTTTAGTGGAATATATAAACACAAGAATAATAATACCAGAAAAAAAATTTTTGCACATATAACTATAACCCTATTGACAAATATATCTCAAAAAGGCATGATGGCTGGCTCTGTAGCTCACTTGGTTAATCCTCCACCTGCAGTGCCGGCACCCCAGATTCTAGTCCCGGTCAGGGCACCGGATTCTGTCCCCGTTGCCCCTCTTCCAGGCCAGCTCTCTGCTGTGGCCTAGGAGGGCAGTGGAGCATGGCCCAAGTGCTTGGGCCCTGCACCCCATGGGAGACCAGGAGGAAACACTTGGCTCCTGGCTTTGGATCTGCACAGCACAGCCGTAGTGGCCAATTGGGGGGTGAACCAACGGAAAAGGAAGACCTTTCTGTCTCTCTCTCTCTCTCTCACTGTCTAATTCTGCCTGTCCAAAAAAAAAAAAAAAAAAAAAAAAAAAAAAGCTTGATTTTTGGCTTTAAAATTTGAGTCAGAAAAAGCAAGGCGAGGGACACAGTTCTAGATTCATAGATTCGTAATTCCTGAAAGATAAAAAACAAACTGGCTGGAGATAAGCACTTTCAGATTTTCATAAAGAGGATGCACATGTTTTGATGATGTTCTGCTATATGATGTACACATCTCACATCTTAGTGCTATTGTAACTTTTCAATGCACTATATTCTCCTGTTTGATGGTGCATGAATCAGTGGGGCTCCTGCCATATCTTTAGCACCGCCTAACAAGCTCTGCCTAGTGAGGGTGCATTTTCTAAGATTCAGAGCTCTGATTTTAGAATCGTGGATACAGGAGTGGTTGGCTTTACCTGAATGGTCCAGAATGGTCTCAGGCTCCACCTCTTCTCTCCTTACCTGAGATCGCTGTGCCTGCCAGCAGTGAGGTTATGGTGTTGTTCCCATAACTTTCTTTCCTTTACCTCCCAGCTTCTCTCTGATGTCCACTGTGCTATAAAGCCAGTGCTCAACCCTGGGCTTTCCCCCAGCTGACACTGGGAAGCGCTGGATCTGCTCCAGTTAAATCTGATTCGGCCTGATTGTGGCTGCACTCAGAGGTTCCAAGCACAAATACTGAGATAACATTTATTAACTCTCTTACTCCCCGAGCTCTTCCAGAGTTTCTAGCTCCCCACAATGTATGCCCTGAAGAGGGAGTGCTCTCTGACTCAACTCCAGAGACTGACCCTGTCAGGGGTTTTAGGCGTCTTACAGCAGATGCTGTTCATCAAATGGCTGCAATGTGATAGTGTCATGAGCGTGGTATCAGATAACAGGTTTCTCCATCTGAGTCCACAGCCTCAACTGCAGGATTGGAGTTTTATTGTAGGCTTTGTTTGTGATTTTTGGGCTCTCCTCCCACCCACAAAATGCTCTGGCACCCTAGCACTTCTAAAACATGAAGGATGATTCCTCTGAAGACAACAGATAGGAAGAATACATCCTTCCAAATCATGATGCTCTCAGACTGTGCTCACCCACATCCTGAGAGGCAGAATGATCAGCAAGGCAGGGGTCAACTCTGAGATGGTGCTGTAAACTGTGATTGTTAACACAAGAGTATAATGTATCTAAGAGCCAAAGATTGTCCTGGGTGGGATGAGGGCGAGGAGTGGTGAGAAGACACAGCTGAGAGGAGAAGCTAATTAACTTTGCATACTATGATACTCAGCCATTTAGGATAGACGAATTACCTAAAGGTGAAAGCAAATCTTGAAAAATGTTGAAGAGAAAATAATAATTTTATATTCTTGAATAGGAAGTATTACTAAGTTAAACTACATGAAAATCAAAAATATCTATTTAAAAGTTACCATAAAATGTAAAAAGAAGATAATAAGAGAAAAAGGTACTTAACATTCACATAGCCGTAATTTAAGAATGATTAATAAATGGAACAAAATATCAATAAGAGATAATACTTCATATTGGAAAAAGATCTAATCTTATATGAAGAAAATCTTAATGATAAATAAACACATAAAAGTGCTGAATCTCAAAAGTGATAAGGGAAATGCTAACTAAAACCCCAATAACTTTTTATCCACCACAATGACACAAATCTTATACCAGGTGAAGAGACTGTATGACCTGCAATTATAATATATTATAATACGTATAATGATTGGTTTATCCCCTTTAGAAGTTTGGGGCAATATCTTGTGTAGTTGAATATGTACATAATCTATAATCCTACAATTCTGTACTCACTATATTTGAGAAACAAAGTAGATAAACTATGGCACTAAGGTCAAAAGTGACCAGTTGTCTGTTTATGGTTTGTGATCTAAGGATAGATATATTTTTAAATAGTTGCATTTTCAATCATTATTCAAGTACTTAAATGATGTACAAAGGGAATCCTATACCATTTAGTATCTGGCCCCTTAAGAAAACAGTTGTTGATCATCATTCCAGAGAAGCTGTCATCCCTAAATACATTAAAATAGGAATACACATAGGTGTTCTGGGCTACAAACTACAAAGCTTCACATATAAATGTAGAATAATTTAAAACACTGTACACTGTGCAAAATAAAACTGTAAAAATAGTTTACTATTTTAATGTATTTAAAGAGAAGGAATTTGGAGTGGTGGATAGCCCACATCCCATGCCAGAGTGTCTAAATTTGAGTCCTGATTCCAGCTTTCTGCTAAGTTATTCCCTGGGAGGTAATAGTGAAGGCTGAAGTAGTTGGGTAATTGCCACCCACATAGGAGAACTCTATCAAGTTTCCAGTTCCTGCTTGGGCCCTGCCCAGCCCCAGCTACTGCAGGCATTTCGGAAATGAATCAACAGATGGAGTGTGCTCTTTCTCACCTTCCCCTTTCTCTCTATTTCTCTCTCAATTAAATGCAATAAATGATTTGATAAATATAGAAGTAATAAATGATATAAACTATTTGACAAGATACATGTACTTTGAATGAAGATGAAAATTTTCATGGAAACAACAAAGACGGTTTTAGTCTTGCCTTTGTTTTCAAGACCTTGCCAACCACAGCAGGGACCCACAGTTACCCTCTGCATTGCCCTGAAGTCTGGGTCTGTCTGATGTTTTTCTTGGGCTCAAGCAGGATTATGAACTTTTGGAAGTGAAGCGCTCTTCTTCTCAAGTGGGAGCACAGGGCACTGTGATGGTATCTCGCTGACTCACGCAGTTGACTCACCCTTTGATCTGGACAGTATTTGGTAAATTCCTCCACTGTAGAGTTTCTCATTTTCCTTTTCCCCTACCCTGTTCTTTGGTAATGAGAGGTCAAAACAACTAGTCCTCCATCAAGGCTTGGAGTAGGGCTTGGAGGCATGTCCAACAGAGAATTAAATTCTACCTCCTGGAGTGATGCATATTTGCATATTCAAAGGCACATAATTCCTCTTTAGAGACAATTAAAATTAAAACAATGGTGTTACCATAAGGTAGCATTGAATATTTTTTCCATTAATTAGACTTTGTTATCATCAACAGAGTTAGGGTTTTAATTAACATTATTTATCCATCTTTTAGTCCTCATAGAACAACTGAAGTGGCAAATTGTTAGACATTAACTGTGATAATCCGAGGTATAAAGCACTGATTCTAATAACTGTAAAAATGTTTTGTATTAAGCATATTTATAAGCAAACCTGTTATTTTTTCATTTATTTTTGTTTGTACTGATGTGTATATTTAATTTGATTCTCCATGAGTTTTTTTTTTTCTTCCATTTAGAGGAGACCAGCAAGCAATTCACAATAGACTTTATCTAGCTACATTTCCTGTTTGCAAGAAATAATTTATCTTCCTGATGAGCATTTCATGCAAGCTTATGTTTACAAGAATATTGGCAAAAAATGGATGAAAACTCTAAGTGAAGTGCTATTTGAAGCTTAGCCAAAAGAGAATTCACAGAACTCTATCTTTCTTTAGTAGCCAGTATTGAAGGACTCTGCAATCTTCTAGGCTCAACGAAGTGCTTTTAATCTATTGTCGAGAAAAGTTATTTCCTATGTGTTAAAAATCCTTCTGTACCCTCAGAAATCCGAGGCATCTGTTTGTGGAACAACCACAGCCATTAAAGTCAGAATTCTTTTCTGCCCTTTGGGATATTAGGCAACTCATGATAACTTGTATCCTTTTTCTCATTTGCAATATGATTCAATAAAAAGTTAAGTGATGACAAATGTTGGCAAGGGTGTGGAAAGAAGGGAATCCTTTCCACTACTGGTGGGAATGTAGATTGCTGCAGCCATCATGGAAAATGCATGGAGATTGCTAAAGAAATTAAAAATGGAACTACCAGGGGCATGTATATAGCCTAGGAGCTATATAACTATAAACTCCAGTATTGCAATGTCTAGATTTGATTCCCGGGTCTGGCTCCTGATTCCAGCTTCCTTCCAATGCAGATCCTGTGAAGCAGTGATGATGGCTCAAGTAATTGGGTTCCTGCAATATACCTAGGAAACCTGGATTATTGAGTTCCCAGTTCCAGTTTTAGCCTCAGCCCAACCCTGGTCACTGAAGGCTTTTGGAGATTGAATCACAGCTGGAAGCCGCACACCCCCCACTAATCTATTTTTTATTTTATCATTATATTATTTTATTTTATTAAACATATACATCTCTCTCTCTCTATATATATATATACATATATATATATATACATATTATATGACCTAGCAATCCTTCTTTGTACATGTTCAAAGGAAATGATCACCACATTATGAAGACATCTGCACTCACCTTCTTTGTAACACAATGAATAACAAGCAAAGATAAGGAAGCAGTGCAAGTTCTCTTTGGAAGATGAATGGATAATAAAATTCTGCAGACAGTGGAATCTTATTTGGCTTCAAAAAAGGAGATCCTGCTATTTACCATCACATGGATAAACATGGAAGACATCACTAGGCTACTAAGCAAATAAGCCAGACACAGGAAGAAAACTATTGCATAATGTCACTTATATGCACAATCTTAAAAAAAGAAGGAAATGACTTGAATAGTTACTATATTGTAGCTTAATTAAAATATTTTTATAAAGAGAGAAAGGAGTTAGCTTTAGGAAGTATTTAAATTTCACACAATATTCTAAATGTCATGTAAATAATTTTGATATCTTTCTAAAATATATATTTTTCTTCTGAAAAAGAGAAAAAATATTGAGTGGAGTACATGGTGAAGAATATAGATTTAATACTAGTGTATATTTTGTTTTTCTCTCTTCATCTTGAGAATCACATAGGATGGGGTTCACATTCCATCTGGATCATAGTATTCTTGTTCTCAATGGAAGTTCCTTAACATTGAATTTTGTATTCCCTTTTGGAAGGGAATAATATACTACCTATATCTCATTGGTGGAATAATTTATTGACAAAATGTACATGTACCTAGCAACATTCCTGATAGTGTGACCACTTAAGATTTATTCTTTATAACCTCTATTCATATGAAATGCAAACTGTCCTTTGATTTTGAGGACTAGTCACAATTTTAACTTTTACTTAGAAAATATGACAAAGTATGAGGTTCACAATTATTGGGTGTTCTCAAACTAATGGATAGACCATGACAAAATAGTACTAGTTCCATAAGCAATATACTAAAACCATGGCAATAATCCAAGACTGTACTTGAGAGAACAGTAAAACTGGCTTTGTGTCCTGTCTATTGCCAAAATATTTAAAGTCAATTCTAATGTCAAAGTAGGAAAATTTGGGCTTCAGTCCTAGCTTGGCCACTTCTGAGTTGTATAATCTGCAATAAGGTACTGATCTGCTCACAGCTTGTTTTCTAATCTCTAAATAGCAATAGTGATAATAGACTTCACTTGGCTGTTTTTGTAAAAAGTAAGATAAAGCACATGATTGATATATAACAAACCATAGGCAATTAGTAATGACTGTGCTTAACAAAACTAAGGAGCTATATGGGATTGGCAATGATATTGTCTTGGGTAGATTATAGTTTATTTGAATTTAATCTGTCAGCAAAAGGCTAATGGATTGTACAATCGAAACACTTAACATTTTAGTTGTTCAGTCTTTGTTCTCTTCCAGCAAGTGGCTTCAGGTGTTCCATCTCACCAAACCCTCTGCCTGGAGCAATGTGGGCAGCCCTGACAGTGCCCTGGCTCACTACCAGCTTACCAGGAGGGGAACTGGCTTAATTGCCTGAATCCTGGCTTCACAAAGCAGCTTTCACACCTAAAGCTGGAGCAGCTCACATCTGTGGCTGTCAGGCTTCTGCCTAGCCGATGAAGAAATCAGCTGTGCCCAGTCCCTCCTGGGATGCCCAGGGGGTCTAAGCCTCATACATAAAGTCAAAACACACAAACTAATTTCCATATAGAATACAAATAACATATTCATTTAATAAGATAACTCCTGAAACTTGCTGCCTACATTTCTTTAAGCTCCTGTGCAGGTAATTACAATTCTGCTTAGGAAAAATCGATGAAGTCATTAGATCAAAACCAAATTCCTTTCATTTTATTTGCACATGTGTCATTTCTGTGCACATTCACAGAGCTTTTCTTAAATACACTCAGAACCGTTTTTCTTTTTTATATTGGGGTAATTTATGGTGTCACTGCAGGGTATATGCTGTGTGTGTGTGCGTACGCATGTGCACACAAATGCAGTAGAGAAAGACTGGAGAGAAGGAGGGAGGACTTATTAGTGTGTATAGATACAACTGTATTCTTCATTTCTAGATATAAAATGTTTATTTTTATCATAATGCCATCAAAAGAATCACGAGCAGCTGATAAGATGCAAGAATTCACAGGACACTCTGGGGCAAAGTCTCATGCTTGATTTAACACCTGAGAGCACCAACAGGGTTCTAATAATGGCACCTTTGATGGTGAAATTTTAATTACCAAGCTATTGCTCAGTATAGGAACTGCATAAACAGGGGACAATATATGTATTCTTTGATTTTGCAAACTTTCATTACTACCAGTTATTGTCATTTTGTAGGGTTTTAGTTTAGCTAAGCTACAACTATGTTTCCCCTGAATTGCCCGCCTTGTAGGCTTCCTGGTTATGGTTGTCCATAGAAGTACTTCTACAAGATACAGAACTTAACCAAAATAGTGAGGAGGTTCTAGGCTCTCCGTGGTATGGCAGAACCATAATGAAGTGATCTCATAAAACAGCATAGGATGAGAGTCATGGAGACAGGAATAAACACAATTAGACAGGGAAATTGGGAAAAATTGAGTAAATAATGAAGCTAAGTTGAGTAAGAAAAAAGGAAATGCTACTTTAAATTCAGTGAAACCAAATGCCTAAGTTTATAAATGATAGATACTTGAGGGGAATTTGATTGTAAAATAATAATAATAATATACAGTCATTGTATAATTAGCAGTTGTTTGTCATTTCTTTAGTTTTAAAAATCAACCTCGGGAAGAATTAAGATTAGGAAGCACCAGGAGTTTATTCCCCCATCTAGTAAATTGAATATGTCTAATGTAACCATTTTGGAATCTGGAGTCTAGAAAGACTTGCAACTTCCATAGAAAGACTTGAATAATAATTTGGGGTTACTTCTTATCAAATGCAGCATTTCACTTGAACAGCCATTGTCTTGACTGTTGAGGAACACTTTATTATTTCACTTTATATATTTTTTATTCTTTTTTTTCTTAATACCACTTGCTGAATTCCTTACTTAACATAGAATTAATTATAGATGTATAAAGTCAATTGAAAATAGATCCCAGTTAAAATAATAAGAGTGGGAATGAGAAAGGGAGGAGATGTACAGATCAGTACACATTCCCACAGACCTACCCCTAAGGATGAAGCTAAAAATCTGCCATAGGTCTCCAAATCCCATTTACCTGGGTGATACTAATCCCATTTTATGTGATAAAGTGATCATTTAAGCATGGGATTCATCATATACATAGGACCATCAGTCAAAGGGATCACATAAATAAGACCAAGTGCCTGGTAATAACAATAGATAGAATTACAAAGGAGAGAAAGTTCTAACATGGGAAGCAGTCCACACAGCAGACTCATAGAATGACAAACATCCTAAACAGCACTCTAACCTCAGAATCAACCCCTAAGGCCTGACTGAAAACACCATGAGAGCATTTCAGGCATGGAAAGCCAAGACATAGTGGCAAAAATGGTTCTACATGAAGGATCTCTGTGAGTGAGACCCCAGTGGAAAGAAGGAGCCATCAAAGGATGTACTTTCTTCTGAAGGGAGAAGATAACTTCTACTTTGCATACGGCCCTGTCTAAAAACTGACGTAGTTTGTAAACACAAAAGGCTTCCATAGCCTTGGCGACTCATGGAGCCTCTGGTTATCACTGATGTCATAAATAAGATTGTCAACTGTTAAATCAACAACAGGAATCATTGTGTACTTGCTCCCCGTGCTGGACCTCTGTCCTTAATGAGTTGTACTATGAGAATTAATAGTAAAAATTGTCTTCAAACTGTACTTTATACTTTGTGTGTCTGTGTGGGTGCAAGTAGTTGAAATATCTCCTTAGTAAAAAGTTGGTCTTCCGTATATAAAGTCAATTGAAAATGAAACTTAATGGAAAATGGAATGAGAGAGGGAGTGGGAGGTGGGATGGGAGTGCAGGTGGGAGGGTGGGTATCGGGGGGGGGAAGAAACACTATATCCCTAAAAGCTATACACCTGAAAATTTGTGTTCATTACATAAAAAACCTTCCAAAAAGAAAAAAAAAAACAGTATTTCACAAAGTCACATCAATCATTCCCCACCCCTCAATCACATGGAAGACAGCTGCATATTTTTTTCCTGGAACAGCTCATAGGAATAATGAAGAGCAAAAAGGATCCCATCCTTTAAACATCAGGAACTGTTTGCTCATTGCTGATTCTGCCAGAGAGGTGCAAAGAGGAAGGTGAAGAAAGGTTAAGAAAATATTGTATCAAAACATGGAAATATCAAAAAGAGATAGAAAATATAAAAAGAAATATGAATAAATTTCTGAGTTGAAAATCCTAATAGCTAAAATAACAAAAGTAACAAGAGATTGAAAAGAAAATTTGAGTGGGCACCAGAATCAGTGAATTTGAATAGACATGAACATAAACAGTCAAGAAGTTCAATAAACTCCAAAGAAATATAAGAGACCTGGAAAGTATTCCTAGATTCTGGCTTCAGTCATGGTCGATTCCTGGCCACTGAGAGGAGCAGTAGATGGACTCTCTCTCTCACTTTTGTACTCTATCTCTTCCCCACCTACCTGTCAAATAGACATATAAAAAATAAACACTGTCAAACAAGAATTCAATTTTTATTTATTTATTTGAAAGATAGAGTTACACAGAGAGAGAGGTCTTCCATTCACTGGTTCATTCCCCAATTGGCCGCAATGGCTGGAGCTGCCCAATCTGGAATCAGGAGACAGGAGCTTTTTCTGGGTCTCCCAGATGGGTACAGGGACCCAAGGACTTGGGCCTTTTTGTACCGCTTTCCCAGGCCATAGCAGAGAGCTGCATCGGAAGTGGAACAGCCGGGATTGGGAGTAGTGCCCATATGGGATGCTGACACTGCAGGCTGAAGCTTTACCCGCTATGCCACAGCATCAGTCCCCAAGAATTCTTTAATCAACAAAACTCTCCTTCAAAAATGAGGGAAAAATTAAGACAACACTAGACAAACACTCATGAGATTAGTTCACACTTGATCTTACCAAAAGGAAATGATGAAAAGTCCTACACGGTGAAATGAACAGAAGCTAGAAAATAACCTGATACTGTGAAAATATACATTAAAGATATCAATAAATGTTAATACATGGCAATTATAGATATCAGTATTATTGTCATTTTACTTTGTACCTCCACATTATGGTTTCTCCAAAATTTAAGAGGCTAAATGCAGTTTATGTTTTGAGCATACAGATTGTAAAGATGTAATCATGTGACGTAAACAACCAAGAAGATGGGGATGGGACTATAAAATAGCAGAGATTTTGCAAGGCACTTAAGTGAAGCTGGTATAAATTCAGAATATTTTAACTCTAGGGTGTTAAATGTAATTCCCATGATAACCACAAAGAACACATCTATAGAACATACACAAAAGGAAATGAGAAAGGAATTTCACACATCTCACTACAAAAAAAATCAACTAAAGATGAAAGAAGCCAATAATGCAGGAAATGAGGTACAAAACATTATAAAGAATAGAGAAATAAAACACAAAATCATTTGCCTTTTTATATACCAACAATGAACAATGAACAGGAAATTGTGCAAACTATTTTATTTACAATAACAACCAAAAGAATAAAATACTTGAGAATTAACTTAACCAAGAAGATAAAAAACTTGTAAAATGAAAACAACAAATCTGTCAAAATTGCTCTGTTCCTGGCTTGCCATGTGATCCTGCCTCCACACATACTCCACCATAGTCATCCTCTGACCTTACTAGATAGTCAACCAATGGGGAAACCCAATTCTGAACTTGAACCTCTATAAGCACTTTTGGAGACAAGCAAGTGTACCTAATTGAACTTGGAGAATCAAATTAGTAGTTCTCTTTCTTACAGACTGGAAGTGGCTGGACAAAATGTGATGGTGAATATTTGGCATCTCATGCTCCTGCTTATCTCTGGGAAACAGTAAATGTATTAACTGCTTCTGTTCTCCTCAACAGCAGTCTGCCTACATTAACACAGCCAATGAAACCAACATGGAGATTTCATAGTGTAACCAAAATGGTAGTGTAAATCCCAGTACTATTGCCTTTTATTCTAATTTAACTACTGCACCTCTTTACTTTCAACAAAATAACTTCAAGTTTTTACCAAAAAGGAAGAACAGTATTTCAGAGCCTCAGCTTTGGCTATGGAGTGCATAGTAGAAATTCGAAAAGGAGTACATGATTATTGCAACATTCCACACAGTAAGAGCCTATGGAAAGCTTGTATGGAAAATGGAAAAACAGATGAATATCAAATTTCATTCAGAAGAAAAAATATTGAATGGTCTTTTAGAATATACTGAGTTTAAAAATGTTACTTTTGTATTCCCTCTAATTAAGCCATATTTTTCACGTTGCATCTAATTCCTGAATCATCCAGAACACTATCCCAAGGCCACAGGTTCATGAGAAGCACAATTTTACACATAGTGTACAATCAAATTTCAGGCAATGACTTGTCCAGAGGTATTTTTAAAACAGTGTTGCTGGGAAGAATTAGGGCATTAAATTGAAATTTCAAGAAGAACAATTGTTAAATATCGTAGAATAAAAGGAATATTTAGGAACAGCTTATGGATCAGTAAGAAGTGAATGCTTTTTCTTTTTTGATGAATAATGGACATGCTTATTTTTCATTTTTCAAGGAGTCAAGATCCTCTTATCTGAGAATGAAGGCCTGGATATATACAAAAATTCATTTTGAAATGAAAATGATCGCAGGGGCCAGTGCTGTAGTAATAGCAGGTAAAGCTGCCACAGTGCTGGCATCCATATAGATATCAATTCGAGTCCCAGCTGCTCCTCTTCCAATCCATCTCTCTGATATGGCTTGGGAAAGCAGTCAATGACAATCCAAGTCCTTGCCCCTATACTCATGTAGGAGACCTGGAAGAAGCTCCTGGCTCCTGGCTTTGGATCTACGCAGCTCTGGCAGTTATACCCATTTGGGGAGTGAACTAGCAGATGGAAGACCTCTCTCTCTATCTCTCTGCCTCTGCCTCTCTGAAACTCTGCCTTTAAAATAAATAAATAAATATTTAAAAAATAAAAAGGACAATGTATTCAAATCTAAAAAAAAGAAGTTAAAGAAGACGTATATAATAATTTGATGGTGTCAGGTCGTAGATTTAAGTCTTTAATCCATGTTGAGTGGATTTTTGTGTAAGGTGAAAGGTAGGGGTCTTGCTTCATGATTCTGCACGTGGAAATCCGATTTTCCCAGCACCATTTATTGAATAGACTGTCCTTACTCCAGGGATTGGCTTTGGACCCTTGATCAAATATGAGTTGGCTGTAGATGTTTGGATTGATTTCTGGTGTTTCAATTCTGTTCCATTGGTCTATCCATCTGTTTCTGTACCAGTACCATGCTGTTTTGATTACAACTGCCCTGTAGTATGTCCTGAAATCTGGTATTGTGATGCCTCCAGCTTTGTTTTTGTTGTACAAGATTGCTTTAGCTATTCGAGGTCTCCTGTGTCTCCATATAAATTTCAGCATCATTTTTTCTAGATCTGAGAAGAAGGTCTTCGGTATCTTGATTGGTATTGCATTGAATGGACATTTTGATGATATTGATTGATTCTTCCAATCAGAAACCTGAAGATAACCCTACCATTCAACCCAGCCATCCCACTCCTTGGAATTTACCCAAAGGAAATGAAATTGGCAAACAAAAAAGCTGTCTGCACATTAATGTTTATTGCAGCTCAATTCACAATAGCTAAGACCTGGAACCAACCCAAATGCCCATCAACAGTAGACTGGATAAAGAAATTATGGGACATGTACTCTAGAGAATACTATACAGCAGTCAAAAACAACGAAACCCAGTCATTTGCAACAAGATGGAGGAATGTGGAAAGCATCATGCTGAGTGAATTAAGCCAGTCCCAAAGGGACAAATATCATATGTTCTCCCTGATTGGCGACAACTAACTGAGCACCAAAGGGGAAACTTGTTGAAGTGAAATGGACACTGTGAGAAACAGTGACATGATCAGCTCTTGTCCTGACAGTTGATGTACAATGTAATACTTTATCCATTTTAGTATTTTTTTTTTGTTCTAGTACCATTGGTTGAACTCTGTAATTAACACACAATTATTCTTAGGTGATTAAATTTTAACTGAGAAGTGATACCTGTTAGGAATTTGGAAAACATCATGTTGAGTGAAATAAGCCAATCCCAAAGGGACAAATACCACTTGTTCTCCTTGATAGGTGACAACTAACTGAGCACCAAAAGGGAAACCTGTTAAAGTGAAATGAACACTATGAGAAATGGTGACTTGATCAGCCCTCACCCTGACTGTTGATGAGCAGCTTAATATGTTATCCCTCTTAGTATTTTTTTTTGTTTGTTCTACTTAATACTTTTGGATGAATACTGTAATCAATACACAATTATTTTTAAGTGCTGAAACTTAACTGAAAAGTGATCACTGTCAAATATAAGAGTGGGAATAAGAGAGGGAAGAGATGTGCAATTCGGGACATGCTCAAGCTGACTTACCTCAAACGGTAGAGTTAGAAACATACCAGGGGATTCCAATTCAATCCCATCGAGGTGGCATGTACCAATGCCATCTCACTAGTCCCAGTGATCAATTTCTGTTCACAATTGATCATAATGATAGGACTAAGAACCAAAGGGATCACATAAACAAGAATAGTGTCTGCAAATACTAGCTGATAGAATAAAAAAGGGAGAGAATGGTCC